TCCGGCGCACTTTGCTCGGGGGGATGCACTCTTGCTACTTCCCATCAACGTGTCCAGCCATCAATGGAAATTTGTGAAATCTTAAGAAGCCAAGATGTGATACCAGCCAAAGTTTGTATAGATTACCTGTCAATTTTTTTGTATGGCAATGAACTCGTCGATGGGAAGCGAAAGTGCAGAACGCCCCTTCCCCACCCGTTCTCACAGGCTGAACTGCACTAAACATTCCTGTAACAGAAACGAAGGCTCACACAAACAGCTGACGTCAACATGTTGGCAAGAATGGCTGGCTGAGTTCCGCTTCGTTGAAAAGCGTGTCATCCCAAGAAAGGAAGGCATCTCTCAGCTCGATTTGTCAGACCACATTATGAACTTTCCGCCTGAATGCTTTTGTGGGGCAAATCTTTTAGCAGAAAGAAGGTTTTCGGGAAGAGTAGGGGAAACAAAAGCGCCCAACTAACTTTGTAATGTGGCCTTTGAGGGCTTGACTAATGGTAATTAAAAAGGAAATGGGTATTAGAGTCTCTATGTTGATAACTGTGGATGTTTGAATTTTAACTCGGAGGCTCATTTGCCATGGGCCTCCAAATATATTGATGATTTCTTTTCGATTCAGTTTCCCTTATTGTTCTCTGATATTGTCGTCGTCGCCAACGGTGTGCTGTTGAGTGTTAAGGTAACTGGGAAACAGTGGCAGGCCTTAGGTCACGCCCCTCTCCTGCTCGTCTGCGTCCTCTCAATCAGATATGCGTTTGGTGAAACAGATATACGACATATGTCTTTGTGAGCGCATACGAGCAGTAGGAAGTGGGCGTGGTCCAGTCCCGCTCGCTGGCCCCTCAACTACCTTGACGCCAGTTTTTTTTGTCTTGCTTAGATTGATCCATGGTGATTACAGAGGTCATTCTATGAAGTTGGCGTATGGGAAATTGGTGCTGCGGTCAGCGGCCGACCACCGACTCATCTCCGTGTCTCGCACAGTTCTCAATTATTCGCAGTATTGGACGAGGAGCATTCGGCAAGGTAAACACTTTTTTTCTACAGAAATCTATTGTACTCGAGTAAGTTAGCTCTGAACAGTACAACTCGGTTAGCACATGGAAAATATCTTTTGGGATCGGGGGAGGAGTGGGGGGGGGGGGGGGGGGGGGGGGGGGGGAGAAACCTGGGAGTTTTGAACACTTTCCTCACAAAAAAAGTTTTTTTTTTTCAATCTTGGGCAAGACAGACTCGTACTGTAGTCCCCCTCTCCCCTCCCCCGCCTCCCAACCTGAGATGTGTTTTTTTCGAGCTATCGCAGACGTAGGGAAGCAGGAGTGGGTGAAGGGGCCTTTCTCAAGGCAGTGATAGTGCGACAGGATATCGTGCTGAACAATGACTTTCAAAATCTCAATGATGTGTCCCTGGTTCGGAGGGGATCAGCAAGGCACTCTCACTGATTTCAAAACCAATTGTAATCCAGTGTACTCCAATTATCCCCTTCTCCACAAATTATCTGGGAATCTAGTCGTGATAGACCACCAGGGTAACCTCAGAATGCATTATGTAATGTGCTATTCTTCAGTAAAATTTCGAGCGAAATTTGGACTTGGAAGGGATTTTGCTCGTCCCGTCGATCACTAGCGATGCCTAATATGCAGGCATGCAAGTTCGTGCAAAGTTGTGCGATGGCAGAGCTTCGTTTACACTTGACAGGAATCCACAGGTCTCACACAGTGAAAGCTGTAATTCAACAGGAACCAGCAAAATAAACTGACAGATGTGCAAAGTGCCCCCTCTAGGCCGAACAGCGCCGATTGCTTTTGTCGAAAGCAATCCTTTTTACTCGTTTTTGTTGCTATTTGTTTTGAAATACTTGACATTAATGGGTACTTGACTGTAGAAAATGCTACATGTCAGGGTTATGCGGTTCTCAGTGCGCTGACAGCATCTCCGATGTCTGCCTATGCGGCGCTGATTGAATTAGTAACTAAAAGTTCGGCTCACGTCGGGCGAAGGGCAGAGACGGGACCAGAAATTGGAAGGTTCAAGGAGGGTGTGCATAAATTTTGAAATTTTCAGGTTTGTATTGTCCAACAACGCTCGACAAAGAAGTATTTTGCTCTCAAGTACATGAGCAAGAGGCGGTGTATTGATAAGGTGAGTAGGCTTTGAGGAGATTTTGGAACTGTCGTCAACTCTGCATTAGGTCCGTTCGCTAACCGAGAGAAGACGTACGGTAGTGGAAGGGCACCCATTACGGCTCTCATGGCCCGGCGGTTGAACTGCCCCGTTTAAACCAGCAATCGTTCCATTTCTTCAGGAAGACCACATCATCTCGGAACATGACCTGTACATTGACTAGACCCCACTTTTGTAGACTATGACTCTGAATGGGCAGGAAATGCGTGACACATCCCAAATGGTGCTGATTACCGTCAAATTCATTATCCCTTCTTGGTCATGTAAATAACTTCTTTTTGAAGACGCATTCATCGATAACCATGTAGGCAGATTCCTTCCTAGTTTGTAAAAAGGAGGTGCACATCAGTCAAGAATGCACCACGGTCATATGGTATCCATATCTCCGCCCATACGATTACCACGGAATGTGTCTTCAGTTTACCCGATTTCGGAAAAGTCTATTTGGAAAGTCTCACCCGATTCCGAAAAAGTCTATTACTGGCTCTTTTTGGGACGATTACTTTGGTTTTATTGTTGCTATTGGCTCAATTTGTACTGACATTTTTATCATCGAATACTGCATACCGCAGTTAGCTTATCGTGAGGAAAGTTTTCCAGCGAATGGTCGGAAGTAGCTCAATCTCCGGGCAGGGAGAGAGAAGCATCACTAGATAAGACGCAGTCACTTTCTTTTGTTGGAATTATCATAACAACTTCATGAAGATGCTCAGAGACAGTCGTATTTTCGATTGAGAATGCCCCTTCTTATTGCAGGGTGTTGCTGGTAACGTACTTCGTGAACTTAGCCTACTTCGTAAGTGCTCTCATCCGTTTATGGTCAACCTCTGGTACACATTTCAGGTACTTATTGCATCTATTTTTTTACATTCATATCCTTCTTAATTTTTTTGAATTATATTTTCTGTGCAATTGTATTTTTATTTATATTTGAAAGTGATTGACTTTGGAGCTGCTCTAGAAATATAGATTTTAGCATCTATAGTCTTGCTCTCTGTGGGCTGATTTTGACGCAACGTCAGCCCGTTCTCCACCAACAGTTGAACAGGAGAAACAACAAGAAATGGTGGAAGACGGGCTGGCGCCGCTTCAAAATCAGCTCCCTGACACGCCCCGGCATCTGCACGAACAACACTGTAATTGTTTTAGTCGGGCTAGTCACGGTTTGAAGGCCCATTCCGCGATTTGTGAACTATCTGAATCCTTCTCAAGCAGATAAGCTGGGTGCGCAGCCGCCAAGTTAGCGCCATTTTTGTGCGCGCTAACTTGGCGGCTGCGTACGCAGGAAGCAGGCTACAAGTGACCTAGGCTCATGAGGTTTCAGGTACCGTCATGACAGTGCCGCTGTGCTCTCTCGCCCGTCGTTTTCAGCGCTCCCCGTGTATCATCACCTCTTGTGTTTTGTAGATTATCTTGACCGGGGCGTAAAGCCTACGTCAACGTTGTGCGAAAAGCCCCTTCGGAGAGGGGTAAGTATTTGGCCTCGAGGGGAGCACGCAGACTACTACTTCCTCTCATAGTTGATCGGAGTGGTGTCTATCCCCCTCCCCCGTTCGACGGCGAAATTTTGGGAAAACTCTGGTGATGCATAGATCGTGAGGTTTGTGAGGTGGGGTCCTTCGTCTTCCCGTAGGAGAAAATTGGAAACATCGCATCGACACCGCTATTTCACCATCCCCGATACGCTGCTGCGTAAGCTGCTTCGTCACTTATGCTCGTCTAGTGATCATTATCAACTGCAAGAAGGAGAGCTTTATTGAGGCGGGTCTTTTTCTCTTTTCTCTTCTCACCAGCAGGCACCGACGCTTCTATTTCGGACCTCATTGCCTCGAACTGCAATCGTGGAATGTGCCTTTGATCTGAGGCGGGACTTTTTGCTCGCGCCTGGTGCTATTCCCATGTAGACCGGAAGTCTGTTGAGCGGCGATGTCCTGCCGCGCGGACCATAAATAGCCCATACAATGTATAGCCTGTATCTCACAGTCTCAGGACATCTACTAACAGGATTCATCTGCATGACGAGAAAATGGCTCTATTTCTCTTGCTTTAACAGGAATATTCGTGGACCGGGAGAACGGGAGCATGACTCTTGGAATGTTCTTAATGGTTCAAGTAGAGCTCATATTAGGACGCAGTCGGCATTGTGGTAAAGTGTTTTTGACGCGGATCCGTGCGACTATATGTACATGGTGACTGATCTCCTGCTCGGTGGCGATCTCAGATTTCATTTGAATCAGCAAGGAAAATTTGCTGAAGACCGGTACGTCGTAAGAACTTTCAATGTATTTCATGAAGAATTAGTTATTCCGTTGAGATTAGGTCCGATTAGTCTTCGTTCATCAGGGCAACACAGGTTACCTCACAGACGGTCAGCATGACGTAAATGTCCATTGGCATTGACGAGGAGTATGCTATGAAACCTCTTTCCACGCAGCTTCCTCGCGTAACGCGTTACTCGACACATTGGGACAGAAAATGTAACAGGATTGGATGTTTTAGCGACGTCCACATTTACCCTACCCAATCATACCAGGAATCCGCATTATACTCTATTTTATTTCACAGAGCGCACAGTGGGGCGCTTTAGGGGTGAGTCTTGGTGCGGGCGCAGCGCTGTTTACTCACAGGTTATAATAGTGCGGAGTGCCGACCTTGGTTCGTTGCTTGGTGCAGCTTCCCACCGATACATCCTTGGTCCCAATGACTGCTCATTCAGCAGTGTGAAGCAGTCTATTGGACCAAGGAAGAGCGCAAAACGCAAGCGAGCAAAAGCGACGAAAGAAAAAACAGTGGACTAGAGTTGACAAGAAGCCCAATCCCAAATGTTGCTTACGCCGTCAACAAGCCCCGTCCTCGCTCTTCTGCTTCTCCCTCCACACCCGTCTCAATATCTGGAAACGCTTGGAATCACTCGAAAGCTTGGGAATAGGCGTGATATTCTGGCTGACACGAAAATGAAAATGAAACTCCCAGAAAAAGTCGATTCAATGGGTTCTGGTCTTTGCAGTAATCGATACTATTCACTCCGTTCCAGGTCAAAACTCTATATGTGCGAAATCTCCCTTGCTATTGAATACCTGCACGGCCGAGGGATCATTCATCGTGACATAAAACCGGAAGAATATTCTGTTGGATGAAGCAAGGTGAGATGAAACTTGTCTGTTTTTTTTTCCCTGTCACAACTATGGTTTCTGTGTGGTGAAGAGCGATTAGCGTGGCAGCCCCGTCGACATTAAGGCTATACTATACGTTTATGAAAATCTGTGCTTTCCAGGTCATGCTCATCTAACGGATCTCAATCTGGCCACCCAGCTCGAGCCGAATAAACTCGCCACTTCTTACTCAGGTAAAAACTTGCGGACTTTTTCGTTTTTTTTCCACAACTGCACTCTAAGGCGTGCTTTTACTTCGCGTCCCGAGCGATTAAGTCGCGCGCGCGGCTGCGAGTAACCGCGGCTTCAAGCGCTAAACGCGGCAGCGCTGTGATTGCTAAATTTAATCACAAGACTCGAATAAGTCTTGCTTCGGGCTTGCAGCGGTCTAGGACGTCTTAACGGTGGAGTGTGTTCATTCGCATTGGCGCGATTAGGGAATCGCGCAACCGAGTCGATACAGTTCGTGAAGTATGAACGCAGACTGAGGGGCACATAATTTTCATACGTATCGATCTTGCAATTGTTGAGATGAGCAATTGCGCGACTCTACGATTAGTGGCTGGGCGCGTTCTTCATTTTTTTTGCTTATCAGAGGGAACAGTTAAAAAACCGCTTCCTCGCAGTCCATTGCAATTCAGCGTTTCTGCTCGCTTGTGTCGCAGACTATGAACGCTGCCCTATGTAGAGAATGAGATATCTGACAGAACCCCCTCATCGATAGTCGAATAAATCTGAGCTTTTTCAGGTACGCGCCCATACATGGCACCAGAGGTGTATGCTTGTGCACTGGGCTTTATTGACGGCTACGATTGGAAGGTAGATTGGTGGTCACTTGGTGTGACGTTTTACGAGATGATGAGAGGTCGAACGCCGTATGAGTTCAGTCCACATGCGACCGCCGAGCAGGTGACTTTTATGGCTACAGGGCGACCTAAATCTCGAAAAATTCATTGGTCGGGAACACATCCCGCGTTAATCGTACGGGCGGAGTCAGGTCTACCATCACGCCTTCTTTGGTGCGCTCTTCCTTCTAAATTGACAAGGAAGAAAAACGTACCAGTGAGAAAGTATGGTGGCTGGTCCTTGCTCCACTTATGCGATCACAGTTAAGTGTTCAGGTGTTGCTGCTGATTCGCGAGAGCTTTGTTCCTTTCCCTGCCCACTGGCCGACTGACCTGCTCAGTTTCCTGCGTCTTCTGTTGTATCCGGCACCGGAACGTCGTATCGACTCATTGGCCACCCTCAAACGGCATCCGTACGTGTCTCGGATCGACTTTTCTGCTGTTCTCGCCAAGTACGTCATTATTTTTTGGTCGATACAGGCATTCGCCGACAAGCGCAGTGCTTTACAGACGTACTGCCCGGTGTTCGTGCCTT